CTTTATAATCTACATCAACAATATATGCAGGTGTTTCAGCACAGGTAAGACCTACCTCTATGCCGATGACTTAAAAGTCATCTATAAAACTGACATTTGCGATTTACGCAGTACTATGCAAACAATCCAACATGAACTCAACATGGTAGATGACTGGTGCAAACGCTGGAGGTTAGAGCTCAACATAGAGAAATGCGGCTGGTTATGTATAGGAGACACGTCTCTTAAAATGAAACTAACAATTAGCGATCACACACTCCCCAGACTGGCATCAGTAACTGACCTAGGGGTACATTATTCACACAGTCTTAATTTCTCTGAACACATCACAGCCAAAGCATCCAAAATGCGGAAATTGCTTGGCTTCATTCTCCGTAATTTCTATCAAAATGAATCTAAAATCCTTCTTTACAAAGTTTGTGTAAGACCTATCGTTGAATACTGCTCGTTCTTATTTTCCAACCTACGTCTATCTGATATACTAAAGGTGGAAGGAATACAACGAGACTTCACCCGCAAAGTACTTAAGACTGACTCGGTCATTGACTACAGTTCTCGATGCCAAATCTTAGGAATAGCACCCCTTTGGGAGAGAAGGCTTAGGTCTAATTTGATTCTCTACTTCAAACTACTCAAAAACCTTACTTACTCAACATGTCAGATAATTCTTGCCCGAGATTCACATGAATACGAACTTCGAAACAAAGTATCTACGGTCAAAGTTGAGAAATACAGATCACAAACTCGGGAAAACTTCTTCCTCACCAAGTATGCAATAATATGGAACAGTCTTCCTTCCGAGACTCGCATGGCAGATGAACTACATACGTTTGTGAAACTGCTTGATCAAGCCCTCACTCGCACTGATCTTGCACGTACGAACACATCTGCACCCCACTCAGACATCATAGGCTCTCTCCATGTCTAGACCAAAATGGACTTCAAGTTCAGTTTGCCTTATTTTTCCTACTTTGCAGTTGTATTAATTACTTTTTCCACCCCATTTCTTCACTTGAAGTAGACAGGTAACTCACTGGACCTATCATTACTGTTAAACTAAGCTCGGTCGATAAGGGACACTCACTACCACTCTCAAAAGTCAAGAGGACCGCACAATCGACTGCCTACTACCAGTGGTCTTGCATCTATGGAACCTGTTACCAATCAACTGGTTAACACAACAGAAAATAACATCAGCACCAAGTTACTGTGAGTTCCTTCCTGTTTATCCTATATTAACTTTTTACTCTTCTGTACACAATGTTGACTAGCAATTAATATTATTTCTCCACTCGTTCCCTTATCCACAACTCATACTTCTATACTTTTTCCGCCTGCTTAAATAAACAACTATCCTACAATATACCCTTCTTAACGCTTATACTCTGTTTGGCAAACTATACTTTATACTATAGTCAACAGAGGCACTGCATCGATGCTTTACCCACAGTCCACAGCTTGTAACTGCCTGATAAGCTTGTAAAATGGTACTTATAGAAATAGTGCTTTCCAACAAGTTGTGAAACAGAGGATTGTGTGAGGTATGACGTATATACAAAAATAAGCTTAAATGAGCCTAACATCACAAAAGGAGGGAGGGTGGAGTTACTGACCAGCAAGCATTGATGGTGAGGGCGATAACTTCAATCCACCCGTGTTTGTGGGGACAGAACATTTTGTATGTGTCAGGCTCTTTATAATTGAGAATAAGACAGTCAATCTAAGATATAGATTGTCTTCCTACGCTCACCACTCAGACTCATGTTTCCAATAATATGCTGGATTAGCTATTCTACTAAGACAACCTATAACATGCTAACTCGGACTTTTACACTAGGATTGCGTGGCTGACATCGGATGGACAAAAAAAGAAAAGAAAAAAGACAATAAAAGATATAGTCACTAGTATTCTTAACACTTCACCCTATATATACACACCCTTCTAATAAACCGCTTCCCTTGTACCAACCTTGACTTCCCATCCTTCATGTGAGCTTACTCCAACTTATTAAACATCACTACTCGTTGTTCTTTATTAGTACATTTTCTAATATGGAGCCTCTGACCTCACTTCACTCTAACAAGACATAATATGAATTTATTCTAATTTATTATACCTCTGTCCGTTCTACTACACAATGTCAAGCAACCTTTGGCGTTCATATCCAAGTGCCTTGCTGCTCCTCTGTTTCTTTTTTTTTCTCCTTCAGAATCTTGCTCTGAGAGCACAGCTATGAAACTTCTGACGTTTGGAGCAAACTTAACGTACGCGTCCTCTCAAGGTCATAGTTTACAGCAAGCGCTCTACGATTTCACTTTACAACAACTATAAACTTAATAAGTTGGGAAGCATTTTGCGAACCAACAAATGTTGTAATTTATAGATCATGCCTGTAAAAACGGTGTGTACCTGCACATGCAGAAATATATTATTATTATTATTAATTACTTTTTCAGTGTTTTTTATAATTTCCAGATCGGGATTTTCTGGAACACTGATTAAATATTTGTAAGGTAGTAGGTCTTGAATAGTTTGGGTGAGGCTAAGTTCTGTTTGGCTGCTTTTAGGTCTACCAGTGGTGAGATTATCGGAGTTTATATCAAAGTTTCTAAAGTCGATATGGTTACATACAGGCCTGTTGCAGGTGTCTAGCGGATGTTCACTTTGTGCACACTTAGTTGGGGGATGGGGTATATGTCTGGGTGAGTTGTCAAGATCTACATCACCGGGCTGGCTATTGAAGGCAGGCTTACATGTACTCCGTGGGCCGCTACTCAGGATGGCCGATTGTGAGATCGCTGGGTGTTTGGGGTCAACAGCACTGTCTAAATACTGCTCACAACATGTGGTGTTTTTGTTTGGACTGACAAATGATGTCGACTCTAACGGTATGTGACTGCTCTTATTTATATCGACAAGCGAGATGCAAGGTAGTGATATGTCTTGTCCAAGTAAACGGTGCACGTTTAGTGTGGCTGAGGGAAGATCAGAGTAGGATGCAGACTGATCAGTGTGTTTATAAGGTTTCACATTATTCGCTTTAGTGAACGATTTAGATCTTTTGCAGGTGCTATAGGCATCAGGAGAGATTATATGTTTTTTAGATGGCCTGGACATTATCGGAAGTAATGTAAATACAAAGTTTAATTAGGTGGACGGCGATAGTTGTAATTTAACTTAGTGAACGTGTAAAGTTTTATGGTAGGATCAAACCCAGTATTAGTTAAGAGTAAATATATTAACGTTAATTGGTGATAGAGATAGCGTGAGAATTAGCAAGATTAATTTATGACGTTGAGTTCCTAAATAAGGTGTCAAGTTGATAGAACCCTATCAGTGACGAATTATTTATCGCTATTAAGTGTTAAATTAAAGAGAAAAACTAATAGGAAAATAAAATAATACCACGTGAAAAAAAGTTACAACCTTCAAAAGCGCGCGCGATGAACTGCAGATAATAATTAATGTTAGTGGCCCTGTATCTGACCACGGATCGATCGTATCGATGTTTGTTATTGAAGTATACACATCATCCATGCTCGTATATAATCATCGACTAAAACCACGTCAGTGAATGACGGAGTTAAATAAAACAAATATGAGTGTGGATTTTGAGTAGGTATATTTTGCACAAGCATTGGTCGGATCAAACATTCGGAGAGACGTAGAGAAGAGAGCGAAGGAAAACGAATTGACGCTCAATGGAGAAGGCACGTTAGCCAATTCAATTTAATCGAAAATTAATCGATATTTACGGTCGGATAAAAATAACTTACAGACATGTGATGAGTAAGATAGTGCAGCCGTAAATAGGTAGTGACTTACTCTTATGGCGAGAACACGATTGACTAAATGAAAACAATCATTATTATAACCAGTTGTACCAGTGACTGTTTTAATGTGCTCCTTGTTTAACTGTGCCAAAAACATCCATTATAGTTACTTCGATTGTGACCGCGCCAGAATCCGGTTACGCTCAGCAACCAAGCCTGTATCCTGGCACGATCTCGGTATTCTTTCAATACCACGAGATCGCCAGCAAATATATTCGGACTTAGTCCATTAACTGCTTTCTGATATTTGGCTTCCGAGGCATTTTATGGATATCCTGGCACGCGTTCCTTTTTAGTGGTGTTCACAGTCAATCTCGACTCAAGTCCACGCTACAAATATATCCTCAAAATAAATAACTCTGTAAGTCTTCGACATTGGATGATGACCACAATAGGTTTAATGGACTCATCTAGCTGAAGGCGCTCGTTCATGCATTCGCACAAGACCACGAGTGAGAACACCGTGCCCAACTACCACTGTAATCGCTCACCAGATTAGATCAGACTATCCTCGATATATTGATAGCCTATCAAATATATCTTCGAACTTCCTTGCTTCTGTCTTTTGATTTCACTTAGTGAGTACGATTCATAGTAGGTGTTACTGGTTGAAGCGTTGTCAAACTGCAAATACCTGTGGCGCCTTCATTGGTGAGCCTGACGTGCTCTGGTACACTAAAATGCAGTCGAACAAAAGTAATTTACAGACATTTGATGAGAATGTTAGGAGATGAACACACATACATTTACATAGAAACAGTCAAAGTTGATAAGCGAATAATTATTAAAGTCAAAGTTTAGCTTGAGAAGAATGGATAATCTGGCTTGTCCATAAGAAAGGATAAGCTACATGGGATTACCATTACAACTGACCCTATATATTTGAAAACCGAAATCGTAGACAAAAAAGAGTAGTTATGTTCCTATGTAAAGCCAACAAAAACATGAAAAGCACAAAAAAGAGATTTATGAGAGTACTTTTGGATTTATGGCAAATGAGGAGTTACGTTCATCTGGAATACATACGTGTAGGTTTTTTCGCACAAATATAGGTGAGATTATAAATGTACTAATGACCCCAAATATACCAAGATTATGGTGACTAAGTGGCTTAATTAAATTCAAGCAGGCACTAAAAGACACCATCAAACTCTCGGAACCATGTCCATACATCAGATCATAGGTGCCTTATAAGCAATTGAATTCATGCTCCTTTGCAGTTATTGAACGTTGTTAGACTTCAAGGTCAAGTCGATTTGAAGGTCAAGTAAACGTAGTATTGGGATTTTTGGCCCTATGCTAGAGTTTCAGTCTTCAGGACACGTAGGTCTTATTTGAGTTGCTTTAATGTTTAGCATATGGGATCTGTCCTCTTAGAAGGTCATATCTCTGATAATGGACAATATACTGGAGACTATTTGACGTTACTTGACGAACCAATTCGTGATACAATTGTAAAACATGATTGCATTTATAATGTTCTGAGCAGTTTAGATCAGCCCGCGCTGTTGGTCAAAAGTTTGCTTACGTCCTAGTTCCACGCCAAGGACAGGGGTTGTTGAAAGAATGTAGATGATTTTCTGATATTAATTCTTTATTTCAGGGGATTTGTGGGGTCCGTTAGTGTTATGTCTTATCATGTCAGCGTAAGTTTACATATAGACCCATTTACGACTTTGCTAACGTTTGAAGTAATATGATTTGAATATCCCCGAAGACGTAGTTTATTGAACTCAATGTAATCGAACCGAACCAAAGTTCGCACTTGAAACCCATCTATAAATACAAGCTGGTTGTATAAACACATCAGTAGCAGTTTGTTTTATCGACTTAATTTCAAAGACTGAATTATGTTTTACATAAAGTTAATATCTATGATTTTAACTGAAATCTGTGAACACCATATATTTACACACTGCTTATGTTGAAGTCGACTTCCTCAACGTGTCATAAGCTGTTAAAATAATTATTTCACAAGGCTGATATAAATTACATTCTGTAAGCTCTGTGAGTTCACTTGTCTTGGTATTAAATGATTAAGCATAGGGAACTCTAATATTGTAGTCATTTACCTCAGTCAACATGCCATTAGGACTGGGATGACCTTGTAAAGTAACGCCATATCTTGTTAAGAGCGATTCATAACTGCCACACAAACTTAGCATGTCTTGGGTTTGGCCATCTGTTGTTAGCTCTGCATGATTCAACGTGTATTGGGTTAGAAATTCCGAGTCTACATTCAAAGTCTTCCTGCCCTGTGGCTGGGTGGTAGACACGCACTGCTGATGGTCCCTACGCTGGAACAAAACAGCTATCCAGTGCTTCGAGTTTTTCATTGCTGGTCTAACCATGATCTGTTCCTGATTTTAACTACAAAAAGTCTTTGTTGGATCATAACTTCATCATTCAATGATTGTCATTTTTTACATGATGGACCATTTGTTAGAATCTAAGTTTGTGTTGTCAAAATGTATCATCGGTCTACACAGTATTTAACCCCGAATTTTTTCTGCCTGCAATCTGACGCTTAGCTGTCAGAGACTGTGGCTGGTCTCTGTATGTATATTACACTGGCGGAAAATTTATGTAGTGGTAAACAAAATGGAAGGAAGCAAAAAGGTGGGACACCTGTCTTTTTGTATATGTACGATTCATACGTCTGCCAGTTCTATAAGGTATGATCTTTCGGATTAATTAAATAGGATATCCTTTAGGCTTGTTGCCCTTTATTTCCCAGTGATCCAACCCCGGCATCGGAACCTGTGGATCTGGGTTTCACATAAGTATTGACGTCCGTTGAGCTTTATCTCTATTCCATTCTTTATATAAATATACGTTTTTGAGAAAAGCGAGCTGTCAGTTGTGGCCTGCTAAGTACTTGTGAGATCCAAGAGGTTTGTCGACTAACACTTTCACAGGTAATGTTAACAGTTGGTTTTATGTCAGTCGGTCGTATCAAACGCTTGTAGTTTGTTACAGTTGTCTGTAACATTGATTTCTTCTAGCATCACTAGATCATCGCTGCTGAAACTATACGTGGGTTTTTACTTGAGTAAAGTGATCTGTTACTTGGTGATGAATCTCACTTAACTGAAAGATTATTAAAGGGACTAGACGATAGTCATAGGGCTTGACGTGTTGGTCAATAAATGTAGGTGTGGTTGTAACCATTATTCAACAGTATTCAATAGTATGACAGAAAAAGTAGGTTTTTATGGTATTCTCAATTTTCCATTATATCACTATTTGGCAAACACAACTTTACCCCTCCCTACTTATCCTTTTTTATTAGTTTTGGAAGCTAAGCTTTTCTATTCACTTGTCAAAGATCTACTAATTCATTCAACGCCATGTTTTTTCCCTCTAACTGATACACATTGAAGTCATAATATCTAATGGATCATATTTTGTTAAAATCTTGAGTGCAAAACCAATCACAATACTTTCGTTGGAACGCCATTTATTTCTTTTGATTGCTTTTAGGCTCTTGCATAGTAGCTCAAACTCAGAAAGTTCCGGACATGGCGGACCAGAGTTTGCCCAGGTCTTCATTATTTTCTGGCTGGGTTCAGCAGTTGTGACTTTGAATTCTAAATTACTCGGTGGTGCAGTGTAAGTTGTCATTCTTCATTAGGTTGATTGACTTTTAGATTTTTTAGTTGTTTTTGTATTGTTTACCAAGAAACATAGGAGTTCAGTTTGGAAACATCAATAGTAAATTATAATAGAATAGTTCTATACGAATTATCTTATTTTATTTGTTTATTTATTTAAACACATAAACATTAGTACGACAAGGCACCAAATACATATGCGCCATACCCGGGTGCTCGAACCGAAGCAAGTGGTTTTCTTAGGGGGTCACATCTTGAGCCTTTGACCTACAGGTCTAATCCAAAAGGCAATGGAGCGACATCAGGAGATTCAGTCCCATGGGAGATGATGACCAACAATAGGTTCATCTACCTTTTGTCCCCTTCGGATACTGGAGCCCATGTGCACCATTGGTTTGGAGTCAGGGTTTCCCAACTCCCCTAGGTGAACCCTCCCCCGATCGAAGCTGCTACCTTGACGCGGTGGTCAGGCTTGCCTATCGTGATGACCCAACCGAGCTATATTGGCTGGAACATATGTTCCTGCAGGTTCTACCATGCCAGGCAGGTCGATTGGTGAACGGTAAGACTAAAAGCAGCAACTCAAGGTCTGAGGGCGAAGTCGTACTGCTGACTGTAGAGAGGTGTGACAGCAGTAAGGTGTTTCCCTCGGACATCCAGCATGACAGCGATGCTGCCTTCCCACAAGGAGGGGTGGGGTTAGAAAAGGTCGACCCTAAAAATGTCACACCTCACCTTACCTCACGGATTTCCGTCTCCGGCGGTGAGGCCCTTTGAAGAACGGAGCTAACACGTCAAAAACCTTCCACAAAAAGGCCGTGCGCGACCGGCCTCAAGCAGTTGTCCCTTGGGCTCTGCGGTCACGCTCCCAGGTCGTCAAGACCAACACTAATCCAATTTCCTTTTCAGGTTCCTCAAGAAATACCCTTCCACGGCGTGGGCAGCCGGGAAGTGATACCAGCCCTCATACCCGTAACAGCACAAGAGACCAAGGTGGTCACATTCAAATCTTTCCTACACCTTCTAATACCTCTCTTATCTCCCCGACTAACCCTCCCCACGTCTCTTTATCACCTCGCACCGCTAGGGCAAACGATTCGAGTACGTGGAACGCCATTCCTGGTCTCCTGAAACCACGCTTTAAACTACTGACTGACTGAACCCTCCGTATCCATCAACCCGGTAGAAGCGTCGGATATTCACTTCGTGTCCTCTCAATTTCGTAAACAACACTCTCTTCTCCAGAAGGTAGTGAGTAGGACTTCCCTGGCAGTGGCTATCTACGCGTGACCATGTGAGAGCATTTCGAGAAGGAGAGTTGCCTTCCCCCACTCTCCGTCGTACCAGGTTATTAGGGGGATTGAATCAATACAAAGTCGTGCATACTTTTAACTAGTGCATCTCAGTAACCGATTATGATTTCACTTTGAGTCGTATTTTTGGTAATCAGTGATACTATCAGATTTCTCAAAATGAAACAGATGGTGAAAGTAAAAACCCATAGTCTGACAGCTGGATGTCAAGCTCCGTAACTACTATGTCACTGTTGACTTTTCCTTCGGTTTTTTCATTGAGTAAAGAAGTTCTTTCTTTTCTCCTTTAATCGAAAACTACTCACTTAAGTGGTAGACTGGATTAATCAGTACTTCTTTTTATATTGTTTAATTTTGGAAGTTATGTGGATGGTGACTGACCAATAAACAAACATGATTACCTGTTAAACAAACTAATCTGTTGTTTAATTGAACCATCAGTAATTATCTCGGTGTTGATTACCAATAATCAGAACGTTTTTTTAAGTGCTTCATTACTGTTCCTCCCTTAGAAGGTTGTAACTTATCAAAAACATCATTTTTTTTCAAGTAAATGCAAAAACCTTGTTAAAGGATATTTTCTAGGGATAATACGGATTCTAGATAACCTAAACGTTTGTATTAAAAACGTAGCTTCAACTTTACTACTGCCGATGTAGGATGAGTAAAAAATGTACTCAAAGTCTGATGTAATTCATTTTCTGACTAGTACATGAACTTCGTATTTAAAAACAAATATATTCATTAAGATTATCCTATTGTTTTCTTTTAAAAGGTCATTCCTACAAACCGTATGCGTTTTGGGGTATTGTATTTTGCCTCTTGTTATTGGTTTGGTTATATGTCGATTACTGTTGCTTGCAAGTTCTAATTCTGTGTTTGTTTTTATCATACGATTATTCATTGTTATTTCTGGGTTGGTTTATTCATCTTATGCATCCTTTATTTTTGTCCATCCTGCATTGCCAAAAAATCGTGTTGCTCTATCTGTATATCCAATAGTTTTATTTTATGTATTTCTTTCATGGCTTGTAATATCAGTTGCGTAATTTTTCGAGATTATGATCTTCATCTGATTTTGTAATTTTCTAGTATTGTATAATTCTGCTCAACATCTATTGTGATACTACTGATGAGAAAATATTACTCTGTACATTACTATCTGTTACTGATCTTTTAAAACTCTTATCCTTATATAACCTGTCTTTTATGGTGTTTTGTCAACTTATAGACCAATCGCTTGTTAAACCCACTCATCGGGTAATCTCTGTTACATTTGTCTGAATACAAATATTTGTTAGTATTTTATATCTGCGACAAATAGCATTCCTAAAATTTGGATTTATTGTTTTCAGTGTTTCATTTAAACCCCAAATCGCATTAGTCGTGGTTGGTTTATTGAGTACTTATTATTATTTCATTAAGACTAAATGTTTGTGTTGTAACGTGTGACTGCAGGTTATGTTAACCAGCGTTTATATCGATCGATCACAGTAACACGGAAAACACGTATGGACGACCTTGTGCCCTGATTGACCCTGCTTCCCTGTCTAACCCAGCCAGTTGAGTCCAGAACACAAGTCACAGCCTCTGAGTTATGAATCATTTTATTTCAGACATACTCTATTTATATACCAAACAAACAAACCACATCGTACCATAAAATAGAAAACAACATTTACACAATATTTAACAAGTGAAATAAACATCGACCAATGGGAAATGTCCATTTAAAGTCCAAGGTCACCGTTAGACTTAACACGATAATTATTGGTATATTATTCTGCATCCATAACAGTTTGTAAATCAATATAGGTCTTTGGACACCAAGATTCTATATTTCCTCTGCAAGTATGTAACTTGTGGGACAGTTTTACTTATGTAATCGAAACCTCTGTCATTAGCCATCAAAGTCTGTTCGTTCAGGTTGCAGCTGAGTTGACGTACACCCAGATCTTACATGGGTAATAATATCATGCCACGGTTAAAAGTGATGACCGAAATTGTGTGTATTTGTCACCCTGAAGTTTCTCTGAAAAAATAATGAGTATTTCATTGAAAGCATTGAAACTAACGGTCCAGTTTATTTTAATGTCAACACTTAGGTCTCCATCATGACTGATAATCAGAATGTGACATTAATCTCCATCAAACTACTGGTTATTGTATTATTCTGTTATGTAATTACCCATCTTTTTGAACTCTATGTAATGAGCATCTTTTGGTAATGGCTGCTTGTTCCCTTTATCTCCACGTTAGTTAGGTGGGGCATCTTTGGTTATTCAGATAAGTGACTACTGTTTACTTCGTCACCGTTGTTGCTACCTTGACGTGGTGGTCGGGCTTGCCTATTGTGATGAAGCAACCGAGCTATACTGGCTGGAACAACCGTTCCTCAAGGTCCTACCATGTCAGACAGGTCGGTTGAAGAGCGGTAAGACTAAAAGCAACAAACCCAAGGTCCGAAGGCGAAGTCGTACTGCTGACTGTACAGAGGTGTGACAGCAGTAAGGTGTTTCCTTCAGACAACCAGCATGACAGCGATGCTGCCTTCCCACAAGGAGGGGTGGGGTTAGAAAAGGTCGACCCTAAAAATGCACACCTCGCCTTATCCCACGGATATCCGTCTCCGGCGGTAAGGTCTCAATAAGTACGGAGCTAACACAAAAATTACCCATAACAAGGTCGTGTGTGACCGACCTCAAGCAGTTGTCCCTTGGGCACTGCGGTCACGCTCTCAGGTCACTAAGACCACCTTTAATCCAAATTCCTTTTCAGGTACCTCCAGAACAACCCTTCCACGGTGTGGGCAACCGGGAAGTGAAAACCGCCCTCATACCTCTAGCAGCACTCAAGACCACTGTATAATGGTCACTGTTAGATTTTGATAATATTTTCAACTCATTCATTCCACTTAATTAAAAAGTAGTTGTGATTCTCTCTTAATTAGAAATAACGGGACTCAGTTAATCACTTTATAACTTGCTCTTGAGTAAATGATCACTTTTAAAAAAAAAGTCAGTCAGTCAGTAACAAAGTAGAACTTCGTACGTATGTACATCAGTTCGAGTTGCCATACCACATTAGCACAGAGATGCAGTTGTCGATTCAAATCCCGTAGTGGTAGAGGTAGTAAGAGTATAAGCAGTAATCGGAAAGATTAGGGTTTGGAGATGTTATTTAAAGAGTATAATCCAGTGAAATAAATTTGGGAAGAGAAAAAAATTATATATATAATATTTATATAATTGTTTTGTTAATTATTGATGGAAAAACCAAATGAACAGTTAGTGTTTTATGACGACGACCAGTCAGTAAGATATCTCAAAAGATAACTGTTACGAAGTGGTAAACCGGACTCAATTCCTATTCTTTTCGTATCTTGTAACGGATTGTGTTTGAAAATGTATGATGCTCAAATGTTCTACCTTTCTGATGGTAACTTAATACATATTCATGATGTATGTTGTTAAACACTTGACACAATTTTGGTTAAAAATACGGTATTGAAGTCTATCATTGAAAATGCCTAATCGACGGATAGTCTATGTATACCTTGTCAGATTAAGAAAGATCAAGTAACGGGTGTTAGATACAAGTAAGAAAGAAACTTCGTGGTAATTAATTAATAACGTAGGAGCTTTTTAAGAGTTATGATGTATGAAATCAAGAATCAATCATAAATTCATCCAGTGGAATGTTTATTTAGAGTTTTTGTGTTAGAAATTGGAAATGCTGAGTTATGATGATTCGAAAGTACCTTAGTCAAGGTAGGAAGTGACGTTTTCGCTCCACTAAAAGTCAGTGTTATATAGAACATTAGCTACCGGTTAGTTGTCTACTTGTGAAGAGACCAACTATGTTAGTTCTCCTTGAATTTATGTATTGGCCTATTCAATAAAACAAGCTCTTGGTAACAATGTGGGCGGAAGTACTAAATATCTCATAGGATTTTTTCCCGGAGATTACCTAAACAACGTTCTGTAAACAATAAGAACTACACGTTTATTTGATGATACAAGTACTCAAATAAACAATGTTTCACTGGATAGATGGATTGTTACTAGCAGTGGAGTCTATGACGCTCACTTCGTCCTACTTAGTACTCGTAAATCGAAAGTACGTACATCCTCTTGTTAATGTTCATACTGGAACTTGAATCTAACACATTTCGCTTTCAACCCCAATGCATTATTTACTTCGTTGCTAGCTCCAGATGGCCACTAACTTGCTTAATTGTTTGGGTACTTACTTTCAGGGTTTTGATTTTTCATCTATCGTCATTAGCCAGTAAGGTGTATTAATAATCTTGTCAGTAATCTTAATTATTTTGGTTCTAGAATAGGCGTCATATTAGATTGCCATCGATGAGAAAAAAACAGCTTAAATTTAGGAATATTTCTAACACAATCAGTGAGTATAATAAGAAAGCTACATCGTACCACGGTGAATTTAACTAATATCAAGTGAAACGCTAGAATTTGTGTAAGCAGAATAAAGGGAATAATTATCTAAGATGTTGATGTCACTTGGAGAGTCTCACTAGAGGTCAAAAACAACATTGATGTCTTGTCATTAATAAATAAGATATGTTTGATAACCTCATCGCTTCATAAATGTTTAAAGAAAATTATAGGAAATGCAGTCAACATCCACTGGTTTTCCTCATTTACCTTATAAAACGGCCACATGATTTCATGCTAATTCCTATTTCTTAAAACATTAAAATTAAAGTAGGTTTTTTAAAGTGGTCAGTTATGGTCAAGTTAGTTGTATATTATTTATACACACGAAACTACGTTAATATTGTGAATGTTGTTTGGTGGGTGGTTGAACTGATAAATAAGATGCTCTGAGAAATCACTTAGAACCTCGTGTATTTTACGTTGTGGTAACTGAGTTTTTACTGTTGAAGGCCACTAACCATCCCACCTAGAGCTTAACTACATCATGTGATGAATACATACTCCAACATATATCATGGTAATTAAGACAGATATTTGAGTTTTGCAATGCATTCACTAAGTGTAAATTTTTACCGAAACAAGAATGTTGATAGATTACTTATTAGTACTCACTATAGTTTCCGGAAAATACAAAAAGTATAATTCAATAAACCAAATATATGAAAATGTGGTGTTTAAGATCGATATGCAAATACAGACCTATTTATTTTCAAATATAAACCGAGTGTTATATTCAACCATTAAGAAAAATTGTTAAGAGAGATGGGTGAGGAGTACACCGAATGACCAATAATTTCACTAAATATCATACTCTCCAATGTTTAACTTCTCTACTGACGATAGTTTGGATCAGCTTGACTTAAAAATGAATGGGCCACTTTTTGCGAAGTGGCTATCTTAGTTACCATTAGAACTGAACCTTACTTAAGTTAGCCTGTTACCCGTCATGGGGCATAGGACATCGACCAGGAATCCTCAACTGACTCTATACTGGGTTTTCCCTTCGAGTTGTTTCTAGGTACTATCCATTCTCTAGATGATTACGTCCAGTTCCCGGCGCCATATGTTCTTCGGTTTACCTTTCTTCTTTTTGCTTTGAGGATTCCAAGTTGGGACATGCCTTTTGATGCCTAAACTTATTCTAACCGGCTGAATTGATGAATATCTACGAGTAAATAGACTTCATGTACGAATGATTAGACATCACCACTGCAGTTACACTCCACATTGATCATCATGGAAATTTAGAGCTAACCTTTTTGGATTCAAAGTTTACTTTTCTATGGAGCGATCAATTAATTTTGAGATACACTTTTCATCTGGCTAACTTTGATGAAGATAAGATATAAATCTCGCCTTTTCATAACAGTTATTGTTATCTATAACTAGGATGTTTTTGTTTGTAATATAGTAGTATGCGCATAAAGAAGACGTTTTCTAACAGATGATAAGTAAATTAGTAGCACAATCAGACATGTTATCTATTCTTCGTAGTACCAAAAAATTCATTATAATGAGATTAGATACTCTTTTAATTATGGTCAATGACCGGATACTGTAATCTCCTAAAATATCGATGGAGAATTGTTGATCTCTCTGGTTGTAAGGTTGAACAGCTGTCAATTACCGTAGTTAAACTGTTCTCTATGCCAATCAAATGGACAATGAAGTTAAGGAGAAAGTACTAACTGTCAGGTATATGAAAACGATTCTTAAGGTGAGTACTAATTTTATTTTTTTAGTTCCTAGTCTTGTCAGTGAATGATTACAGTAGGCGAACATTTTTTTCCAATATATCTTCTCTTCGACATATAACCTACTTATTATGTTAAGTAATTTCTTAGCCGTTTCTATTATTCATTCATAAACAAATGATCTTCCTTAGGAACAGAAATATTTAATTTTTAGGGATGATGATGACGATAATAATATCACTGCTTCATTTGAATCTTTTTAAGAAAACATACTAGTTTGAATTTTAGTTAAAAATGGAAACTTAAATTTAACGACATGTTTGTTATAACATTTTAATATCTTCGGTTGATTTTATTGGTGAAATGTCTTTTCTTTTGATATTATCTAACGTGTATTATCTTTTACTTTTACTTCTAGTTTCAAAATGTTTATTACTGATTTATATTATGATTGAAATTTTCTTTTTTTTTCAGTACTTTAGTAATCATTATCACTAGTGTTTGTTATATAAAATTCACAATTTATAACAGATCCATATTAAGTGCTCACGCGCGAAAACAGTAGGTTCTGGGTTCGAATCCCGCAGGGATTGATGTCGTGGATGCGCACTGTTGAGGAGTCCCACAATAGGACGAAACGGCCGTCCAGTGCTTCCAGGTTTTCCATGGTGGTCTAGCTTCAAATGATTCATGATCTTAACCATTGAGATTAATATTTCTTAAAATAAGTTGTTTCATTAATTGCATAAATTTGATTAACCACTTAACTTCAGTTTGAATCTAACAAAAGTGATTTTTGACTTTTGCTATTTTGTCAAAGTTAATATACTATCAAATTTAGTCTATTAATATAATATAATACTTATATAAGTAATTAACCAATCAAATTAGAGTTAGAAGTTGTTTGTATGGTGAATTGAGTATAGATGACCTTCACTTTGTGCAGAATTATGATTGTTTTTATTACATAAAATGCACACATAATAATGTGACTAATAAAAGTATGTAAAAAAGACAATGAGACTAGTAAAAAATAAAATAGATAAGTGAATTTATTTTGTAAAGAATTGAGTTGTTATACAATTTTATTAATTCAGTTCAATTGAAGAATTTCTTATAATTTCTAAATGAGATTTTTGGATTATTATTATTATTTCTATAAAGTAAACTATGCCTTTGATATATAATAATATTATGATTAAAGAAAGAATATAATATTACTTACCTAACAAAAAGAATAAATCAATCAATAATATGTCAATTGATAATTTAAAGAAATTTCTACAAAGTTATGATTTTGAAAATTCCGGTGATTTAAACAAAATAGAATGGATAAAATTATGCTCTAATTCAACAATTAATATATCTAGTGAATTATCATTAACATTATTCAATGAACTTGATACAGATAATGATGGATTAATTAAAATATCAGATATATTACAAGAATTAGAAATATGGAAAGCATCGAATCAATCAAATTGTAATTTGAATCATTTTGATAAAATTGATAATAATCAATATGGGAATGAATGTAAAAATGAGGAATTAATATTAGAACAAGATAATGGTGTTTTTGGTAAACATCAAACAGATCAATTATCAAGAATAACATCCAGATCGAATATAAAAACAAGTAGGAACATTTTATTTTAATGAACTGAATTTTAATGGTTTTTTTAACTTCTTTTCCTTTTTTCTTCTTCCTCTTCAAGATCCAGTTATCTTAGAAAGACGTAAAAAAAGATATCCAATAATTCCATCGGAAATAATCATACCAAATGAAGGAAGCGATCAATGGATGCCTAAAAAGGAAATTAATCCAGATGGATCAGAAGTTTTTACAACTACACCTATAGTCAAAACTCCAAGGTATGTAATCCAATATAATTTAATCTGAATATACATATTGACTTTGTATAATGTAAGTATTTCTAGATTATTCACTGATAGACACTTTATATTTAGTGCATGACGGTTAACATATAGATTAAATTACACTTGATTTTACTGTCTTAAGTATGCTTTTTTATGTTTGAACTTGATGTTACAATAGTATATCAACATAAAGTGTAAATACTTGTGAACCTTAAGTTCGATAGATTAAGAAACTTCTTCATGGTGTATTATTCAAAAGAAGCACTACAACATTGACATAGATCTCTTTCAGCTATAAATCTATCTACAAAATCAGATAAGTTGCATGAATGAGACAGTGATTACTTCTCAGAGATAGACGATAATCTTTACTGTCAAATAATTTTTTTTTCCGTACAAGCATTCTTTTTTTACGCTAAAGCGATGATTTAGGCGTTAACTTTAAGTTTAACATTTTAAATATTGGTTTCCTGTAATTGTACAAAAAGATATTTAATATATTGGTTCACTGATTTCTGTGTGACTGCTTCTAAACATTTTGTAAAGAAATGGAATACAGCTCTTTCGAAGACAGGTAATAAGGAGAGATCACAAGATAGATTAATGGTTAATTACGTATAATAATCGCTCTGTCAACAGTCTATTATATTTTAGCAAATCCTTTTCTTATTTGGTTTGTAATTTCTTGAATCTCCTCTTTCTTGATATTAAGGACTAAATTTTGATCAGTCTTTCTTGACATGTGTGTACCCTGAGCGACTCGACTTGATACTACCTTTAAGTCACAAGTATTTTAAGTCGATGAATAGTGGCTAGCAGTGGAATCCAGGACACGCGTCTCATCTCCTGTTGCGTCAGTTGGTGGCTATCTGGAGTCAGTTGTTCAGTGGATAACGCATTGGCGTTTGAAGCATAAGGTAATGGATTCGATTATTGGGGATGCATCCAACCGATGGGTCTCAAATAAGATGAAGCTCGTGTTATAGATTCCACTGCTAGCCACTATCTATCTTTCCTTACAGTTCTTTTTTAATCCAATGTACAACACATTCGAAATCAGATTAGATTCCTTGGTGGGAAATATATCAATGAGCGTTAAGTATAACTTGAGTTATTAATAAAACACTTGTAAATATGTGCCTTAGTTTATTGATAATATAGTGATCTATACGTATAAATCTTTTTATCACATAGTATTATTGAGTTTGATGAAACTTTAAGTAAAATCCTAGTCTACAATTTTCAAAATACAATTGACAATATGATGTATATTGTTACAACCCGTATATACCATATCGCAGTTAAAATGATTTTTGAAAAATATACCATCATTATCTTCACTATTTATATAAGAACTCGCATTTTAAAGTCATTTTCTTAATTGTCAAGCTCATATTACCGAATTGTAAGTCTATAGATATTAAATCATAAATAACAATATAATCCAGTCGTTTTTATTAGAAAAAAATGCAGTTGTAATTATTTTTCCTTTCACAGTTTACATCACAGATTGATCTTAATTTGACAACCACTAAAAACTAGAAACCACTGGATAACTGTTTCGTCACAGCATGATACTTCAGTAATGTACATTCCTAATCTAGTTGGCGAAAAAACCTGGTAAACCTGCAGTAAACTCTTAACCTTTAAATAGTTAAGTTGGCATTCAATAATTTACATGTCTAACTTCAATCGGTCTTGAATATTATTTTAAATTCTTGTCAAAATAAAATAGATGTGGTTTAGTGTTATCAGTATTACTTAATTGATTACTAGTCATTGATCTTCATCTTCATAATTGTAGTATATATATAAAGGGACATTCAAATAATCAATCAATCGATCAATCAATTAATCAATCATTCAGTTGAATTTCGATTAAATCTCATTAAGAGTGTAATAACAATTTTGGGTGTATGTATGCATGTAAATACATGTAATTAGTTCACCATCTCAACCTAAGTTACTTTTAATTAATTAAACTTATTCATTCTCTATATTTCGGTTTAGATGAATAAATAAATCGTAGATATCGGACAAATACTAATTAGTCCAAAAATAATTCAACTTCAGTGAAAAAAAACAACCTAGATGTGCAGTTACTTTTATTACTACTTACTATGAAGCATTAGAGTTGAAGATAATCTTGAACATGTTTTACTAAGTGTACAGATCAATCTAAGTTTGTTCTGTTGAGTTATGATGAAAAGAAAATCAATTTCTGCACATACAGTCGTGGATTCAATCATGTTGTACTTGATATGTTGATTTATCTAAACACCGACTTCATTAATATGACTATTTAAACAATCTCACTAGTATAGAAATATATGTATAGTAGATTTCTGATATATAAGATCATTTTCGGGAACACGGTGGGTGGAAAACTGTTGGATCTTTACCGCGTTAATGGCAATATATTTCCTTAGAATAGAATCTTGATAAACGTTAAACTATTTTTTTGGTTTAAAATAGCTATTTAAACGATGTTATTTTATGATTAAAATCTTCCCTAGAGTAGTACGCTTCATTAAAACCACTGAGTTGATAAGTACAATATTTGTCAACGATTCATATATGTACATTTCCAGATTGGATAACCGGAAGAATTCAGTGATCCAGGATGATATATATATATATATATATATATATATATATATATATATATATATTTATGTATTGCATTGAAATATAGAGATATATCACACAGAGAAAGTATTAGACTTTTCTTGGTCGGAATTCTAACATGACCAATCACATTTATCCACCTTATTTTTGACGACACTAATTTAGCTGAGGATTTTAAATACGATCTTATTGAGAGATGAAGATAAATTATTGACCAAACCAATATTTCTCACTTACCATCTCCATGCTTATAGACAAGGCTTTTAGGCACAATTTTTTATATAAAGGTTTGATGAAGTAGACAGAATGAGATGGTGGAGAAGATTTGTAGACGGAATGAATTATGAATCTATGATTTTATGGTTAAAATCCGAGTATTTTAAACATGAAACCACTACTACATCCTCCGAACTTTCAGTTTACTAATCAAATTTCCTATATGAACTGTTGATATTATTGGCATTACTATTATTCATGGTTTTACAAACTGAAGCGATGTGACACTTGTTAGGTATGCAGAGGAATATGCCAATAATTATCGTGTTAAGTCGAATGGTGTCCTTGAACGTTAAATGGACATTTCTCATTGTTCGATGTTTATTTCACTTGTTAAATATTGTGTAAATGTTGTTTTCTATTTTATGGTACGATGTGGTCTGTTTGGTTAGTATATAAATAGAGTATGTCTGAAATAAAATGATTCATAACTCAGAGGCTGTGACTTACGTTCTAGACTCAACTGGCTGGGCTAGGCAGGGAAGCGGGACCAATCGGGACTTTAGGTCGTCCTTACGTGTTTTACGTGTCACAGAAGCGGTCGATATAAACGCTGCTTATCATAACCTGCAGTCCACCCGTTACAACAACACTATTTATTTTTAGAATCTTAAGTTTCAAAAATCATCAAATTTTATTTTATAAAGCAAAAAGCAGAAAGAAATTGTTATTAATCATGATACATGTTAATATTTCAGATTTTCGGTATGTTTTTGTAAATTGTTTATGTAACTTATTAAATCATTACAAATACCTTTAATTTTCTTGAACACATGACAGTGTATATGATGAAGTAATTTATGTAACAAAAAGATAACATATGATTTGATCATTTATAATAAATGAAAGAAAGGTGTAGTAAAGTTAAAACATAGATCTCAATTATAATTACTCATTTATTTAATAGGATTTTCTTTTAAGGCGTTGAAGTTATTCTAAACACATTCAACTTAAACTATTCAATATACAAAGATGATCACATTTGTGCTATTTTTTAATTAGCAGACATACTTAGTGTATTATAGTGTGTATCGGATGAAATATGCATTCCATACCCTATTTCTGGTTATAATTCATCTATTCCAAGAAAGTATTTTTACTTTATTGACTGATCATAAGAATCAATAACTAAATACTGTATCTCTACTTCAATCTTTCATTTGATTTCATTTTTTCAATGTTGTGTTACATTAATTTATGTAGGATTACGATATATAGTGTTTATTTTACACAGTTGTTTAAGAAAGAAAAGTACATTTCTACTTACATTATAGTGTAAGATTTTATTGTTGATAATTTCTACCTTTCTCTATCATTCGGTGATGTTTGTCTTTTTAGTTTGAATTTAATTTTTCGCTGAAATGATATAAAGTTAGGTATATTGTATCTTATATAGATATTAACAATTGAATGTATTCTTGATTTACTCAGGCATCAATAATCTTCATTTCAACTAAATACAGTCTGTCTTAAATATTATCATGTCCTATAAAGGCATCCTTTTTTTAATAGTAGTGTTCTCATTTTTTTTGTTTAAAACAGTTGGACTATAGTTTACTGGGTGTTGTTTTACTTGTATTTTCCCGTTGTTATTTAGGACTGCAATTGATTAGTCTCTTGTTGGCATATTTGCATACTGTGCGGGTTGCCTCGATATAGCCTCATGTCACAAGCTTTTTAAGCAAAAATAGATAATGGTTAGCGGTAGGATCCAGGGCGCGCGTTTAGTTTTATTTGGGACTTGTCAGCTGGATGTGGCTGAATACTAAAGTTGATGTTCACCTGGGGACTCGAACTCAGCACCGTTTGCCTCAAATGCCATCGTGTTATCCACTTAGCAACTAAGACTTGATGGTTACCTACTTGTGCAACGGAGTGAAGTTTTAAATTCACTAGGTGTTGTTTACGCGCAGGATGCACATTTGTCAACAAGGGACTGATCAATTACAGTCCTAAATAACAGTGAGAAGATATAAATAAAACAAAATTAGGTGAATTCAAAACTTCACTCCATTGCACAAGCAAGTGGCTATCAGGACTTAGTAGCTAAGTGGATAACGTGGTGGCATTTGAAGCAAGCGATACTTTGT